CCCTTCCTGGTAAATACTATTTTACTATAATAGGGTGTGAATGTTGTGTGTACATCACGCATTAACAATTGCATATAGTCATTAGCAGGTAACAAAGAATAATAAAAAAAGGAAAAGTATTGTTAAATAAAGATTATGATAAAGACTGAGTGGTATAAACAAAGATCAGTGATTACTTGAAATCGATACCAGGAGGGAGGGGTAAAAGAAAAGTTAAATAACATTTTATTATTTAATAATTTATTAAAATATATAAGTTTGTCCAACTCCCTGTGTATTAACCACAAACAATGAGACAACATGTGTCAAATCATCTGGGCACATGACTAAACCCCACTAAATAGTATAAGGTAATTTCATTGAATGAATATGATCCCACACACCCACAGTGTAAGTTAATCGTCTTCAGCCATGTGTTGGTTGTTACATTTACTAATAGTATGTCATGACTTACACATACAGTATGGTTTTTGTGAAACAATGATATTTGTACAGCACATTTCATACTTCATTGGTCTAAACAGAAGTACAAGACCAAACACAGAAGTACTACTTTTATTATAGTTGGAGAAATCTCACGCCCATCAATATATTTATTATTAAACATCATGCCCTCTAAGTTGGCATTATTTTGGTAGCTAAGGAAATCAAATTCATTCATTCGCCACAGACAATTCCCAATCAATCAGCTAGCTACAAATTTTAGACAAAATTGGAAACTTATTTTGTGATTTTTAAATTTAAGTTTGACTGACCCCTGAATTTGTTATCACTAATGGACTAGATATCAGTATACAAACAGAGTCTATTCCTAGAAATTGAAGGTCATAAATTATTGAATGTATACTTCCACTTTCCATTTACCGGGTAACGAGATTTACAACAATACTTGGAATGTTGAGCATATTAAAATCCTAATATACTTAAGGTTGTACAAACTTGCAGCAGTTTTCTAAAACTCCAATAACAAGAAAATATACAGCAAAGTAATCTTAAATCTAGGCCATGACCTGAATTACTCAACTTACACTATATATTTAGTTACATCTGCATGTTAATATGACATAGGTCAATACTTGTTCACTTTACAAAGCAGTCTTAACTGGTCTGAATTACAACCCTCACTGGCAAATGATAGCTGTGAATTTATTGACAATGTACAAAAACCTTACATTCACAGATTAAAGGATTCTATAAGAAATTTACAACAACTGCTGTACAACTAACATACAGTAAAATACAAAAAGAATGATTTAGTGAAAATAAAATCTAGCGAATAAACCTTTTTTCCTATATTTTATATTCAATTCATCAAAAATCAGTGAAAATAAATTCCATACAAAAAGACATTTCAGCAAAAATTTGTCCACTGTAAATTGTTATTGCCCTAATGATCTTGAAATTTACGAAATTAAAACCAAGAGAAAATGCAAAATTAAATAACAGTGAAATTGATTTAAAACAAAGAAGTTAAATAATTTGGACAGTAAATGAAATTTACATTTTGTCTTCTGAAAGCCTATATGTATAGCAGATATGAATACCACGTCAGCATGTAATGTGACAACAAGCAAACATACACAGTCATTTTTGTTGAGTTAATTACAGACTATATTGCAGACTGAACATTAGCATTGTGATACACACATTACAGACTATATTGCAGACTGAACATTAGCATTGTGATACACACATTACAGACTATATTGCAGACTGAACATTAGCATTGTGATACACACATTACAGACTATATTGCAGACTGAACATTAGCATTGTGATACACACATTACAGACTATATTGCAGACTGAACATTAGCATTGTGATACACACATTACAGACTATATTGCAGACTGAACATTAGCATTGTGATACACACATTACAGTTCAAGCTTCTCACAAATAGCTTCAAGGACATTCATCCAAAATGACAACTAGCGATATATGACATTTCTAATTATATTTTGGATGTAATTAAATTAAACAGAAAATACCTAGGCAATGAAAACATACCAAGAAACTGCTTATGTCCAGTGAGCGTTAGAATCACTACATTATGCTGTCTGGGTCCACCTTTCAGATAGATATGTGTACTAAGGTTAAGGTTTATATTTCATAATAACTTCTCAATGTATAAACTGTGCCTTTATTGCACACATACATTTAGCAAATAACAGGGGATTTTCATTTATGTACAAATTATTTTGATCTTTAAATTAAATACAGAATTTTACAGAAATCATAACTGGTACACATTACCGGGGCAGTGTTTAAAATAGTTCCCATTGATACCATACATGTATTTCCAAAATAAACAAATTTTATATTGAGTGATACAAATAGAGAAACATGAGAGGATATAATAAATCAAATAATTTAGTTAACATACTTTTATGTTCAGATTTTTAAATTATTTGTAATAAATAATAAATTAGTTATTAAATTAATAATAATAATAATAATGAATTTATTGCATCCTTAGAAATAATTCCCATTGGTTGACAGCAATAAAATGTTAGTAATAAAGTACAATACATATATAACTAAAGTAAAATGTCAGTTATTGTTATTTCTGATTTCCAATAGTTTGTACTAGTATTCACCAACTTGTCTTATTAGCACATCTTCTCTTGAACTCATAATATATTTAAATATCTGGTCATTGCTTTTCAATTCTTCTGGAATATTTATATAACTTTTGTCTTTCTGTTTGGAACCTAAGACATTCCATGAAGAAATGTTCTTCATTTTCAATTTTGATCTGGGAACATTGCTTACAGATTCTGTCTTCTAAAGCTATTTTGGGTTGGGTATGTCTACCCTTCTCAATTTCTAATACATGACTGCTTATTCTGAAACAAGTCATTATGATTTTATGTTTCAGATTACATACAAGCAAATATGGTTCAAAAGTGTACGAGTCTTTAAACTTTATATACGTTCTCAGTTTTCTATTATCATTTGATACACTCAACTTCCAGAACTCTACATACCTTTGTCGTATGTTTTTTCGTATGTTTTTTTATTTTACTGTGTGGTAATTTTTGATATGTAACAGATGAGGACAAGTTATGAATATTCAGAAGGTCGACAGTCACCCAACCCATGTAAGTATTCACAAAATAAATGAGTCAAAATTGTATGGACTGTAACGTGTTATGTAATGGCGTCCCTCACGGAGACTCTGTGTCATTACAATGGTCTACTGTATCCCACAATAAATCGTCTAGGTCAATTGAGGTCATGGAATATGAAAATACTATGCCACCATTATTGAAGAAAACAGTGTCAATCGACAGTGGCGTTGGTAATATTTATGCAAACAAAGTCATATATACATTGAAAATTCTTGGTACGCTGATCCGACTGTCGTCATGTCATATAATAATGATAAAGCCGATGTATGTGACTAAAACAATCTGAACCCTTGCATTACAGCAAATAGCAGTACTTAGCTGTGTTCAGTGTGAAACAAATTGCAATTTGTTTCGAAATCAAACGAGTTTTATTGCAAATTTGACACGTCTGACATATTCTTAGTTGTTTCTTACCTTCTTAAACAGTAATCGACACCCTTTCACATGGCGGATGGTGATTTGGCGACAACGTCTGACTATTTATAACAAGCTGGCTGGGCACAGACTGAGCGTCACGCCATTAAACATTAGCCACCTGTCACATGACAGTCACATGACACAACATAACCTTTCACCCTGATGTATCCCAGCTGCCAGTGCACAAAATGGTGATGTGTTTTGAAGTCGCGATTGTATTTTTGTTTTGATTGCGATATTTTGACTTATTTTGAAAAATTGTAACTGTTTCTCGTCAGGTAATAGAAAGGCGTGTTATGCACTAGTACTTTCATTTGATTTGTGTTTTTTAATCTCTTATAACTTGGTTAAATGTCACTGCATGCCGGAGCCTTCGCGTTGCGCGGAAGTTTTAAATAGTTATTGTGTGTTCATTTACTACCTATAAAATTCAACTTTATGCTATTTCTTTTTTAGGAATGGTATGATTTCAGATTTTACGTAGAAACATGCATATATCATTGGACCATCATTGCAACATTAATGGACTAACCAAGGTCGGATATTTGCTGAGATCTAAGCGACCACACCCAACCATACCTATCGGTACTCCGTGTTCGCTACATCCAGTACTAACATGTGTTCAAAATCTCGGAATTTACTCCTGTTCTACTTGTTCATTGTGAAACATTCTACTAAAGTACAGAGATAGTGCCAATCGGGGGATAACATCGCACAAACTATACGTAACATTTTAAAATTACGAGTGCCTTCAGACTAAACTCAACGTTTTTGGTCTAAGATGGCAGCGGCGGTGGCGTCGACTTCATCGCATTCCCTGTCAGACGAACGTTACAAAGTCAAAGTACATGTGACAAACCCTGTGTATGTAACTGAGATAAGTCAATCAGATTCACGATGCTCAGCTGAAGATGCTTTAAAACACATGAAGACGTATGACCTATGTGACATTACTGTTATTAATCCTGTGTTTCATTGTGAACTGCCTTTTTCTGACCCGGTGAGTATTATATGACTTGGAATAGTGCATAACCGTAACTACGTCATATTTTTCTCGATCTATAAATCTTTTCATAAATATCCGTTATATACTTTATACAATCAAAGGTGCTCAGTATTCCAACAACTAAAATATATAAAAAAAGTAAATTACAAGTTATTGAAATAAAGTTAATTCAGTCGGAATTTATTTACTGAAAACTGTAATTTGTTGTATTTGTGCATGTACACTGTAATTTCTCTGTATTTTATGCTGATTTACCAAAGCAGTGCAAATATAGTAAGTCTCTGTGGTTCTGGGATGTTGCAATAACTCAGATACTTGTTTCACTTTTATTTTAAAATTTTAATGAAATATTTTGAAAAGTAAGACAGTAACAAATCTGTTTATTACTATTAGCCTAGTCACATGTTTTTCTCAGATCAATATAAAGTTCATTCAACATAACATTAAATACGATATTTTCACTAGCGAAATCTAGGCATTATCAAACTATTGTAGAGAGGACCCATAAAACAATAGGATGATAACAAGACTAGATTAGATGTACATTATGTATATTGCATAACAGCCAGATACATGTAGTTGAAGTATGTGATAGTACAAAGTAAACTTACTAAACAAACAAACAAATAAATAAATAAATAAATAAATAAATAAATAAATAAATAAATAAATAAATAAATAAATAAATAAATAAATAAATAAATAAATAAATAAATAAATACAAT